GTTGTTGTTGTTTTGGTAAAATTGATTTACCTATGCAATTGATTGAATGGGTGCATTCTAACTGAGACTAACCTACAGGATTTCAGGTCTGCAGTTGGACATTCTTGGATGGTGCCTAACTTACATGCCAGTGCCTTCAGTGTACCAGTTTGTACACTAGCATCCCAGAAACACGTACTGTGCATTCTTCATTCTTTTATAAGAAAAGCAGTTGTGACTGGTAGAGGGTGAAGTTACCACAGGCAAAGTCAGCAGTCACTTGAGGTGGAGTCGATGAAATCCAATTTGCTATCTAAAGTCATCCTTTGCAACAACTAAGCACAACTTGTACAATCATCTGTTGGTTGAGAGGAATCCTGGGACATGAATGGATATTTCCTTCAACAGTAAGACCAGCCCTAATGAAAGGACTAGGAGCTAAATTCAGTTATGGTACAGAAAAATTGTGGGCTCAGTGTATTCAGTTAAAATTCTAAGTACTTTTATTTTTAGCACTTTGCCCTTGGAGTTCTGGTGAAAAACAAAGTAAATAATAGAATCATAGAGTTGAAGGAGATCACAAGGGCCACCCAGTCCAACCCCTTGCCATGCAGGAACACAGAATCAAATCACCCCAACAGAAGGCCATCCAGCCTCTGTCTAAAAACCTCCAAAAATGAGACTCCACTACACTCCAGGGGAGTATGTTGCACTGTTGAACAGCTCTTATTGTCAGGAAGTTCTTCCTAATCTTGAGGTGGAATCTCTTTTCCTGTAATTTGAATCCGTTGCTCCGGGTCCTGTTTTCTGGAGCAGCAGAAAACAAACTTGCTCCATCCTCAATATGACACCCTTTCAAATATTTAAACCAGACTATCGTATCACCTCTTAACCTTCTCTTCTCCAGGCTAAACATATCCAGTTCCCTAAGTCTCTCTTCATAGGGCATGGCTTCTAGACCCTTCACCATTTTGGTTGCCCTCCTCTGGACACACTCCAGCTTCTCAACATCCTTTTTGAATTGTGGTGTCCAGAACTGGACACTATTCCAGGCGAGCTCTGACCAAAACAGTATAGAGTGGCACTATTACTTGCCTTGATCTAGACACTGTACTGTTGATCCACCTAACCAGAAATCTGTCTGCCCTTCCTATAAACCACTCAGTATTTGAATAAGCTGACTAGTGGAGACTATGATTATTCTTAAACAGAAAGTGATGGAAGCATCTTTGGGAATATTGCTGGTTTGGAAAAGCAAGACGGCTAGTGAGGAGATGTGGTTTGAGTGTCGGATTAGGTCTCTGGAAACCAGTGTCTGCATCTCTAATAAACCATATAAAACACCCAGTGGATGACCTTGGGCAAATCACACTCTCTCAGCCTTAAAAAGAAGGGGATGGCAACCTCTTCCAAAAAAAAAAAAAATAATAAAAAAATGTGTCAAGAAAACTTTCAGAAAGGGTCACCATAGGTCAGACTCCACTAGAAGGTCCATTATAACAAGGAAAAACAAGTCAAGCTGGAGCTTGAACTTGTCACAGATTTATTGGTCTATTTTTGTGGTTGGGTATCACTTTTGTGATACAAAATGGCTTCTTCCTCCCTTTCCTCTTTCTCTCTTCTGAGGACTAGCTGCATTTTGTTTTTCAAATCAATGTCTTAAAAGACAGAAGGCCAGCAGATTCCCATACCTTTTATGGGGGAACAATCCAGAAAAGTGACCAATACATATTTAAAATAAATAAAAAGTAAATAAACTGACTGTCTCAAACAGCTGTTTTAACTGCAATTTAAACATGATTTATTTATACTGGAAAATATGAGCGTGGATTAAAAGGAATTGTGTGAGTGTGTGTTTGGTATGCAATATTTTTGTATTACAAATAGCTCTGTTCTAACCCACATTAACCCCATGATATGTGAATTTTGCCAGCTCCCACTGTGTCTTTTAAATCAAATCCAGCGCATCACCAAGTGTATTCTAATTTCTAAACAAACTCATCTTCTAGTGGAAGTCCTTTAATACTCTTTTGCAAATTAGACAATCTAAGATGAATGGAGTATCTTTGTTAATTATGGAGTTTAATTGATCAAAACTACCGGACAGGGTTTTATTTATAGCAATTTCATGCTAGATCGGATTCTATAATATTAACCAGCATTTCCCCCTCCCCTGAAGGTTAAGATGTGCATTTATCTAGATACCCAGATAACCAGATATAATGAATCCCATATATGTAGGGTTAGAGTGACACAGTTATATGGAGGAAAAGGACATATTTTGTAGATTCTGATAATTGAAGACAATTTCATTCCTAGCAAAACTGGGTTTTATACCACTACATCTGATGACATCAAGGTGAAATCTAGTTCCTCGACAATATTGTTTTAAGGGATAAGGTAGGCAAGATAATAGAGACACTTGGCCCATACATTTACCCCAAGTAGGGTAAAGAGTGAATTGAAGTTTAGGGGTAGGACAGGTTTTAATTGGGAAAATGCTTGAGGAAAAGTGTTAGCCGCCCTCAGAGACCCAGTTCCCAATATGGATAACACACACACACACCTCTACCTTTGAATAACAAATGATCTCATATAAGGTATAGCAACTTTGACAGGTGCCATAAGTGTTCCCTCCAAGGCTGGCGGAAAAAAAAAAGTCAAGAAAATAGGATCTCTTCTGTTATCAAGGATCCATATTTAAAGAAATGTTCTTCCATTCTCATTTGGGATATCCAGTTGGCTCTATTCCGGACCCCCTCTGCAAAAAAGGAGATTAGTGAATATTCAAGCCCCATAGTCTTGAATGGGGCATGCCCTCAGGGGCGTGCCCCATTCATTTAAATTGAGGTTGCACCTCTGTGAATATATAAAAGTGTGGACATGAAGTCTGCAAGAATGGAGGGGTGACTGTAGTCAAAGTTTGGTAAAACCATCCTAAACGCAGAATATAATCCATTGGTGACTTACTCAAGACTCATCAAAATGAAGTAAGGCTTCTTAGAAAACAGCCTAGTTGGGTCCACTCCCCCCCCCCCACCGAGTTTAACTATTTCTTTCCCTAGCTTCCCATTCCTTGCTCTATTGTGTGCCTTCAAGTCATTTAAGGCATACACTCTAGGCTAATGTGAGCCTAGAGTCAGTGTGGCATAGTGGTTTGAGTGCTGGAGTACAACTCTGGAGACCAGGGTTCTAGTCACAGCTCAGCCATGAAACCCATTGGGTGACCTTGGTCATGTCACATGCTCTCATCCTCAGGGGAAAGCAATGGCAATGGCAATGGCAATGGCAAATCCTCTCAGAACAAATCTTGCCAAGAAAACTTCCTGATAGGTTTCCCTTAGGGTCACCATAAGGCAGAAGAGACTTGAAGGCATACAACAACAACAACAATCATGGGGTTTTCCCAGCAAGATTTCTTCCCAGTGGGCTTGTCACTGCCTTATTCTGAGACTGAGAGTGTATGACTGCCCAAGGACACCCACCTGGGGAGTCTCTGCACTGTAGAAATAATGTAGTTTGACACCGCTTTAAGTGCTGTAGCTCCATCTTATGGGATCTTGGAATCTATCATTTCACAAAGTCTTTAGCTTTCTTTGCCAAAGAGGGCTGGATCCTAGAATTCCATAGGATGGACTCATGGCTATTAAAGCAGTGTCCAACAGCATTATTCTATAGTGTAGATGCACCCTATGGGATGCAGTGGCTCAAGTGGTTAAGACGCTGAATCTCTTGATTGCAAGATCAACAGGTTGGCAGTTCAAGGCCAGGTGCTGCATGATGGGGTGATCTCCTGTCACTAGTCCCAGCTTCTGCGAACCTAGCAGTTCAAATGCATGCAAATGCAAGTAGATAAATAGGTACCACTTTGGTGGGAAGGGAAACAGCGTTCTGAGTAATCATGCTGGTCCCATGATCACAGAGTAGTCTCTGACAATGCTGGCTCTTTGGCTTAGTAATGGTGATGAGCACTGCCCACTATGGATGGACACAACTTGACAACTTTGTCAATGGGAAATACCTTTACCTTTACCTTTAGATGCAGCCTAGCTAAGTGGCTAAGTGAGGATTTGAACCCTGGATCAGAGATTCATAGTCCAATGCTCAAACTAGTAATGGCTCTCTTCCTTGCAAGAGTTGGAACAAAACCAAGATCTGATCTTCTTTAATTGAGGCCATCGGTGGAGCCAAACTTTGCCTAAGAACTAGATCAACTCGTTCTCTCTTCAACTTTGAAATTGCATTGGTAAGACCAAAACCAAGGGCAGGTCTCCCCTCTTAGTTTAGTCCTTCTGGGGTGCAAGACTTTGCTTTCCCATCCCAAATGAGAGAGAAAAACAGCCTCTCCTTTCAAGGTATACTTTCCTGCTCCTTTGCACCAGGGCCCTAATGTTGGGATGTCATTAACTTTGCACGCCGGTAGGTAGCAGTGGCGAGCAGATGCAACAACAGAAAGCTGCCAGTCAGTGATGATAATTTATTATTCATTTCTGTTATAGGTGGGGTGTGCAGACAGTTACAGTAATAATTACTAAGACCAGAGTGTTTCCTAGGCAACCGGTTTTTTTTCTCCCCCCCCCCCCCATTCATGCTGTTGCGGAGAGTATGCCTGTAAAGCATGACATTGCTGTATTCTGAGGTTTGTTGCCCTCCTGCTGTTCCAGGTTTGAGGTTAGTTACAGCATCATAAGGGGCTCTCAAGCATAAAGAGCTCAGGCTGGGATTAAAGCCCAGAGAGAATGCTATCACTCGGTCTTTTCCTCTCCTGTTTCACTTTTAAGTAACAAGGTTATAAAAATGCAAATGCCATTTCTAGGTGGTTAATAACTAATATTGGTAAGGATTCCTTTAAGTTGGCAAACATTTCCCCCCCCCTCTTCTTTTGTTTCACATAGGCATTTG